CCTCTACATCGAGCTGACGTTCAGGGAAAAGGTGAACCACCACACTCTCTATTCACTTTGTGTGACATCTGCATGACACGGGGGACAGGGCGGGTCTCCTCATATCCAGCTCCAGCAGGGGTTTTCAACCTTCCAGAAAGCCCTGCCTCCTGGGCAGAGGCCCCTTCCCTCCGAGTTCCAGGGGCCCCTCCAGGGAGTCAGAACACCCACCCACGTGACACGGCACCGCTTCGCAAACGGCAAGGCTGTGCCGTCCAGAACCCTGCCGTCCAGAACACTGGAAGCCTCCAGGCTCCCCCCAAACTGGACACGCAGGCGGTGGGATGTGGCAGAGGAAGTGTGAGGCTATTCCTGGGGTCTGGGACTTCCTATGACAAGGCTCAAACCAGGACGGCAGATGAACAGGCGGAGGACAAAGCTGGGGAGGGGCAGGAGGCTCTGGGGCGGTTTCTGGAGGGGGCGGGAGCCTCAGTGGGACCTAACCAGTTATCAGGCGGGAACAGCCTCAGCGGGAACAGCCTCACGCCCAAGACAAGCGCCTGGAGGCAGTGCAGCCAGACCGCCCTTCACCCTTCACCCTCCAGAGGCCTGCTCCATTCAAATGCTAACTTATGTTTTTAAGCAGACCCTTACCCCCTAATGTAGGGGCTGCGGGATCTGCACTCTACCACGTTGTCACTGTTGTAAATAAATACAAACCACTGCTACTCAGTATGAGATTTTTCATTTGTCCTCCAGAAAAAACCCATATGAATGACAAGTTGGCACAGAAGCAAAAAGAACTTAATTAATTTACAAACGACTTGTCACAATTAGGTTGACATGGTCTAGAGCAGCAGTCCCCAACCTTTGTGGCACCAGGGCCAGGTGCTCCTATGAGAATCCGGTGCCTGATACTGAGGCGGTGATGCTAGCTGGGGAGCAGCTGCAGATACCGATAGAGCTTCACTCGCCAGCCACTCGCCTCCTGCTGTGCGGCCCGGGTCCTAACAGGCCGTGGACTGGTACCAGTACGGGACCGTGGACTAGGGGCTAGGGACCCCTGGTCTAGATGGTAAGTGACATACAGTGAACAGTAAGCAATGTCAAACTTCCACCCTAACTTCAGCACGACAACCATCGGTTCCAACGTTGCCTTGTTTTAATCACACTTGCAGAATGAAACTATAAATCAGATACCATCAGCCTTAAAAGAACCGGGAGCACAGCAGACTGGCAGTGAGACGCGGTGGCCCTAGCAGGCTGCGTAATGCAGCCCCATGCCGCGGAGTGGCACCACACGGTGTACAGTGGGGACGCTGACCTCTGGGCTTGTCCAACTTGGAGTCTCAGTTCAGTTAAGAGAAATTGCTAAGCGACGACCTTTTTAAAAAGGAAAGTGGTTCCCAGAACTTTCTGAGGGAGGCGGTCCCGCCAGGGGCTGGCAGGCTGGCCCTGCATCCTGCTGGCCAGGATCGTTTGCTCCCTGCTGCAGTGGATTTATAGTCAAGACAAAGTAAAGGCACTGAATTTATCTTCAGTACTTCTTCAAGCCTACAGTTTTTAGAAGTCGATGGGGAATATTATTTAAAGTCTCACATTATTATAACCAGGATATAAAAAATAAAGCAGCTTTTCAAAAATTGTTGGTCTATTTTTTCCTGAACAAAGCAGAACACCCCCCAAAGCTTCCCCAAATCCTTCCTGGGTGTTGACTGCAAATTTATCAGCTTGCACACTCCCCCACCTCCACACACAGTGGGACTGAGGAGCCTGGGGCTCGCTATTTACAACGCAGCATTTAAAATAACAAGGCGTCTTATTGTACAAACATTCCCCTCCCACCAAAGGGAAGTCCCTCCCACCACCCCTGTGATTTGCTAAGAAAAGAAAGAAATATGTACAGCTCCAATTTACCCTTAAGTCAAAACTATTTCTAACTGGACAGAGAGGCCAGAAGAATCTCTTCCAATTCTAAAACGCCGTGACTCTAGTAATTCGCCATAATTTTGCATGACACGCTCTGCTCAGATACCATTTTAAATTGCTTGATATTTTGAGATTAAATATTCAGCGATTTTAATTTCAAAGGAATGCTGGCATACTCATTAGGAGTGCGCTATATACCGGGATAACGAGACCAAATTTTACGAGGCTGAATAACGAACGAGTCTTGTTAACTATAACTCAGAGCAGACTGTCCTGAGCTCTCTGCCTTCTTATCTCGGAACAGTTTTGTGTTACTACCTATTACAACAGCTGCTAAAGAAAAAAAACAAAAAAGATACAAAGCAGCTTAGTCTCCTAATTTGGCACTTAAAAAACGGCCACCCATCACGCAGGGGCTGAAGCTGGGATTCCACAAAATGCACAGAGCCAGACGCGTTTAGCACGCATTCCCCAACATCGCCCCACTTACTCTCTCCGTTACCAAAGAGGGCCCTCAACCAGGAAGTCAGTTTCAACACGATGCTGTACCAAGGTCACACAGTGGTGACCTTCCATTCCCACGCAGGCACAGCCCAGTTCCCAGGGAAGACCTGGGCAGCTCCCTTTACACAGGTGCCCAGTGGCCGCGGGTTCAAGAGCACTGCTCCGCCGTGGCTTTGGACTGGTGTCCGGGAGAAGGCGTCACATATGGAACACTGTCACCTGTATCCCACGGGAGTGTGGAAAGGCCAGTGTTTCCATTTAAAACTGTGTCAACATAAGCAAACCCACAATAAAGTGTACTTCCACGGTCATGCCAGCCAAAGAGGGCTTGTCCCTAGCAGGCTCGGAGCACAGGTGTGTTCACGTGGGCGGGGTGAACCGCCCCAGGAACACATGACTGCCCGGCTGGCAAGGCCCCCA